TTTATTGAGTGTTTGCTAGGTGCCAGGTGCTGTTCTAAGTATATTGCATGTATTAATTCATTTAACCTTCACACCAACCCTATAAGAAGGGTTCTATTATTGTCTTCATTCTATGGCTGAAAAGAAAGTGAGGTACAGAGCAAGTAAGGAACTCGCCCAGGGTCACCAGAGTCCAAGTTCATAATCACTGCCTTGCTACTTCCTTAATAGAGAGGTAAAAGATTTTCAGAGTATTTTATCCTGTTTTCCTTGAATTTCCTGAACTTCCACTTTAATTTATGGGCCATCTGGTCTGTCTCCCTGTGAGATGAAGGATTCTTTCTAGGAAGGGACCATTGATTTTCCGTCCTCATACCCCCAACCACAACCTGTTCAGCCTGGTGCTTTCATGTAAGAGTTTAGTGAATGTGTGTGGGTGAATCTCGGTAAATACAGCAAAGCAATTTTTATTGGATTCATGATGCCATCACGGAAATGGCATAAATTTACCATCACCACACCTGAATTCAATTCTTCTTCTCCTGGATCCTAGCTGTGCTAGACTGGGCAAATTACTTATCCACCTAACCTCATGAAGCATTCTTTTTCTCCCCGTTAACATGGATGTAATATAGAGAAAAAGTTTAGTTCTTAAAGCCAAGGTTTCCTGTGGCAACTTCTGCCACTTACGGAATCATTCATAACACTGAGGAATATATCACTAATGCACACCTTCCCCAGCAGAGATTGGTATGGCTGGAACAAGGGAAGGACCAAAGTGGAAAGCCGTGCTGGCTCCTCTGTGCTGTTCAAAAGAGGGACTTGGAGAGAATGTGCCCCTGATGAGCAGACATGCTAATGAGCTTCCAGGTAAGCCTAGAGGTGAGTAGAGCTGGAGAACTCACATTTTTATCTTGCAAAAGTGACTGGGAATCAAATGGGAAAGAGGAGATGAAAAGGTGGGAAAGAAAGGGGACCCAGAAAAGTGAAGGGTGAGGGCTTAACTGGGAGGAGAAAGGCCACACGGGAGAGAGTCCTCTTGTTGGAAATGGCCAACTAAATGCCAACAGAGGGATGTGTGATATTCAGTTTCTTTTCTTGTTTTGCGGTGAAGCATCCCCATTCAACATTCTAAACCTTCAGTATAGTTTTCTACATACAAATGCTTTGAGTTAATAATACGTGTTGTGTAGTGGTGAGGAGGGGAGGGAGCACTCCATACCTGGGTGATGTGATCAGAAACAGGCTGCAACATGAGAGGAACAGCAAGAGAATTTGCAAGAAGCCAGAGGAGCTTGAAGCCAGAGATCAATGGGAAAACATAAGCTCCCACCCCCCACATATCTCCTAGGAGATTAGAGGAAACATGGCTGGCTGTGATTGCACACACAGCAGCATTGGAATCAACTTAATTTGTTTGTTTGCTTGTTTTTGAGACAGAGTCTCAGTCTGTCACCCAGACTGGAGTGCAGTGGCACGATCTCAGCTCACTGCAACCTTCACCTCCCGGGTTTGTGTGATTCTCGTGTCTCAGTCACCTGAGGCACAGACCACCATGCCTGGCAAATTTTTGTATTTTTTGTAGAGACAGAGTTTCACCATGTTGGCCAGGCTGGTCTTGAACTCCTGACCTCAAGTGATCTGCCCACCTCAGCCTCCCAAAGTGCTGGGATTACCGGCCTGAATCAATTTAATTTAAAGCTCAAAGGGCAGGGGACCTCTGCTGGCATCTAGGGTACAAAGGTATACTAATATCCAAAAGTCATTTCTAAAAATGTAAGCAGCCTGTATGGCATGGCTACCAACATAAGAATGAGATGCCAGCCATATACCATCATGGTAATATGATAAACATCAACGCTGCCAATACCTAGAGCTGCAAAATGGTAAAAATACAATGACATACATAAAAACTCAACATATATAAAATCCAGCACACCAGTACTCTCTCTTCTTCAGGTAGGAAAGGGCCAACAGGATCCAACGATCTGGGGGAGATGGAGTGGGAGACAGAAAAATGGAATTTGAGAAGGAGTTCAGAGTTCTGCCATCCTCCATCCCTGCCATCAGGTGCATTTTAGAGGCAGAGGGAGAGGGAGGACCCCCCCACTCCTAAGCCAGCCTGGGGCCTCCAGCATGACACAGACAGCAAGCGGATGCTGGGGGGTATGTTTCACCTGTGAACTTAGTGTCAAGAGGTGGGACTTTTGAGGTCTGAAGATTTATTTAGAAAAAAATTCAAAATAGTTTAGGGAAAAAAGAGGATTTACTGGCTCCCAGAAATTGAAAATGCTAAGGAATGTAAAGTTTTCAGGCTCAGTAGGATTCAGGAGCTCAGTCCACGACACCCATCCCTCAGCGACCCTGTCCTCCATTTTGACTTTCTCCTCAGGTTCCATGTGGTGACAAGATGGCTGCCCATCACCCAGCCCATATCTCCCTCATGGTTCATGTCACTGGCCCATCCCTGAACCATCACTGTGGCCAAGGAAACAAAATACACCAGTTAACCTTGGCCATTGTCTGGTGCTTACATGCTCTCTGGCTTCACGTCATCCTATTCTCCCTCTTGCCTACTCTGCCTCAGCCACATGGGCCTCCTTCTTGTTCCTCAAGCATGCTTCACCTCAGGGCCGTGACCATTGCTCTTCCGTCTGCCCAGAGTATCTTCCCTCAGAGGTCTGTGTGGCTCCTTCCCACTTCTTTGGATGTCTGCACAAATGTCACCTTCCCAACGAGGACCCCTGGATTTGAACTCACACTGATACCACCTGCTGCGCACACTCACATATTCCCTATTCCCATCTCCTGTCTTATTTTTCTCTAGAGCAGATTCCATCATCAGACTGTAACTAAACAAATAAGTAAAATAGGCAGTGTGTTAGTCTTCCTCCACCCCACACCGGTAGAAAATAAATTCCATGAGGCCAAGGACTTCTGTCTATCTTGTTCACCACTCTATTCCCAGAACCTAGAATAATGCCTGGCACAGGCTGGGAGTGGTGGTGCACACGTGTAATCCCAACACATTTGAGAGGCCAAAGTGGTAGGATTCCTTGAGCCCAGGAGTTTGAGACCAGCTTGGACAACATAGCTAGACCCTGTGTCTACAAAAAATAATAATAATAAAAAATTAGCCAGGCATGATGGTTTGTGCCTGTAGTCCCAGCTATTCAGAAGGCTGAAGTGGGAGGATCGCTTGAGCCCAGGAGGTCAAGTTTGCAGGGAGCTATGTTCACACCACTGCAGTCCAGCCTGGGAGACAGAGCAAGACCCTGTCTCAAAGCAATAATAATTATGTGTGGCACAAAGAAAGTTCTCAATAAATTGTTTAATAAATAAATAATAAGGTCACAAGCTCCAGATGTGGAATGTCGGTAAGGGCTCCACTCAAAAGCCAGGGATTGAGGTCAAGGAGATGTGATTTCCTTAGTAAATGTGGGGAGAGGTAGCTACCAGTGGGAGAGTGAATGGCAGCTTGGCCTCTGAAACAGATGTCCAATTTCCCTCCCTGTCCACAATCCACACACAAGCCATTCCCTGGCTTCCACCTCAGAGTCACAGCTGGAGCTTCCTAAAGCAATTCCCCCTCTTAATGTAGCACCTCGGAGTGCAGACCCAACCTCCTTCCAATCCCATTCCCCAAACTAGCACTGGGCGCCTGGCCCCACGTGGACAGGGACACTTCAGTCTTGTTCTATCCACCCCAATCCCTTTATTCCCCTTCCCTCCACCCCACTCCCCTTTGTGGCTTTTTACATGACAATCAATAGCAGCCGGGCTTTGGGGATATTATCGGAGCCCTGATTGCAACCTCTAACATTATAATTCACAGGGTTGTGGGGAGCATTAGTACATCCAGGATAAATTAATTCAGTGTAAGTAAGCGCTTTGAAGCCGGGCACAACGCTCGGCTTTTGAAGCTTAAGCCCTGTTTAGATTACTTGATTAAAGTGGGTTCAAAGCTTCGGCGATCAATATATTTTGCTTAAGAGCAGTGTTGCTACAGAAGCAGATTTAATTGCATCCCGGTGCCCTGCCTTGCAGATAGCTCTTTAGAATATAATGAGATATCACAGAGCCAAAAATTGAGGGTGGGAGGGAAAGAGGAGGAACAGTCATTCAAGTTACCACCCTGGAAAAGCAGGCGACACATAGTTGGATGATGTGAGCATAAATAATCCCCCAAAATGAGAAGTTGGGGAAAACTAAAGATGGCAATCTCTGCTTATAAAATCTTGACACACAAGACACCAGAGGACAATCTCGGTTATCTGGCTGTTTTGAGGATGGATTCCTGGGTTGCAACTGGGGGAAACAATTAGTCCTCAATAATGTGACGTTTTTAGGATTACAGGCTGGCACTTAATCAAAGTCAATGTGGTTAATGAGGGGGCTGACCGGACGGACCCCACGAGGCAGGGGACAGGCGGCATCACTAGTATCAGGGCAGTCATCTGAGTCTGCAGCAGGAGCCTGGACTAGGAGTCCAGGATGGATGGGAAGAGAGGAAGTAACATGTGTCACATGCCTACTGTGTGCTAGCTAGTGCTCTGGGAGTTTAACGCTTTTATTAGGTTGGTGCAAAAGTGATGGCAATGATTACTTTTGCGCCAACCTAATATTTTATTTAATTGTTAAAGTAAATTAAATAAATACAGCTGTGCCCGTTTTCCAGGGGTGGGTTGGTTGGGAAGGGAGTAAAGGCAGAATTTGAACCCCTGTTTCCCTGATTCTCAAAGCCATACTCTGCATCAGTTCTGGTCTCCATTCAGCCACTACCTACCTGTGGGAACATCTGCAAGTCATTTAACCAACTGGGCTATAGTTATCTCTATTGTAAAATGAGAGGGAGCCTAAGCCTCCCCTGACTCAAAATCTTTGGTTTAGAATAACTCTGGCCTGGGAGTCAAGACAGCCTGGGTTTCTGTCTTTGCAATATCAACCAGCCGTGTGATAGGATCATCGTTTCACCTCTCTGCTGCATTTACCCATTTACGATGCCAAGTCGTGGTGCTTACCTGGCCATGTGGTAGCAGTCAATGAGACGTCAGATGAGGGAGGCCTCTGACAAGCTGTAAATAGCACACAAGTGAATCTATTTAAAATCTTTAAATGAGGTGGGCCACAAACTCATCTCCTTTAAAGAGCAGAAAACTCTCTATGCCATCACGCCCTGACGTAGTCCAAAGACCAGCTGACCATGTGTATTAGTCTGTTCTCATGCTGCTAATAAAAACATACCCGAAACTGGGTAATTTATAAAGGAAAGAGGCTAAGAGGTTTAATTGACTCACGGTTCTGCATAGCTGGGGAGGCCTCAGGAAACTTACAATCATGATAAAAAGCACCTGTTCACAGGGCAGCAGGAGACAGAATAAGTGCCCAGCAAAGGGAGAAGCCCCTTATAAAAGCATTAGATTTCATAAGAACTCATTCACTACCACGAGAACAGGATAGGGGAAACCACCCTCATTATTCAATCGTCTCCACCTGGTCCCTCCCACGACACATGAGAATTATGGGAACTACAATTCAAAATAGATTTAGGTGGGGATACAGCTAAACCATGTCGCCATGGGAGAGGAGCCCTCCACCTACCGACAGTCACACTTTCCTCTGTTCTTGCAGTTCTCTCTTCTCATGGGTTCCAAAAGGTTCACCCCTCAATGCTGAATCTCTGTAGGAAATCCAGGTAGCCTCATGCCTTTTCCTTTCCAAGTCAAGCCCGATTACCTTGGAGGACAGGGCTGGGGTAGGAGAAAGGTGTGAGGAGAAGTGGCCTCCTCAGCAAGTGTCCCACGGAGGCGGTCTGCATCTCAAACACATTCTTTCTTTCACAGCCTGAGGGAACTGACAGAGCGTGGGGGCTCTGGAAGCCTCCCTCCCTTAAGTTTCCATGTAAAATATTTTTATTTATGTTACAACAACATGATACAGCACCATATGCCCATGAATCAGACCCAATATAGAGTCTGCAGATTCGCCTCCCATTGGAGCTGAGCTGAGAACAACAGACTTCAGAAAACTCAGAGGAGGACACATGCCCCAACTCGGGGGAAGCAGGAAAGGGACTGACTGCATTTGTTTTTTGGCTCCCGGGGTAGAGGTGAAGGTGGGAAAGCAAACTAATATTTCCTGGAACTCTCATTCAGACTTTCAAGAACATTCGTATTGGCCATCAAATCCCCTTTCAGGCTTTGGGAAACTCACCACCTTTTTGAGCATTGGTGGGTGGTATCATTGGTTCTATCTTTAAAAGCAGAAATTGCCAGACACTTGCTTTCCCAGCCTCCCTTGCAGCTAGGACATGGGCACATGAGAGAGGCTCTACCCATCAGATATACTTAACCAGAGTTTGCATCCAGGGTTAGCAACATAAAGAAGCAAGAATGGTAGAAGATGCAGCAAGATGGAGTTATTGGGGTTGGGGGGGGCAGTGACAGTGACCTGAAGCTAGGAGTAGCATCTGGTGCTGGTGGCAGTATTATGTATGGTACTCAGTAGTGGTGGAGGGAGTGTCCTGCAGGCCAGTTTTGCAGCACGATTGGGGCATTGCTCCTGTGTGCATGATCCCAGCCTGGTTCTCCAGCCAACTGCAGCAATTCTGTGAGCTCTCTTTTAATGCATCCCTTTGGTTAAGTTTTCTGTGGCTTCCTCTTAGAAGCTCTGGTAGATGCAGAACAGAAATCAGAAAGCTGGGGCAAAGTCCTGGCTCCACTGGGCCATGGTGAGATGGGGCCCTTGCACTCTACAATTTTTGAGTCCCAACCTGCACTGACACACCATGGTGGGAGAGAAAACCTCCAGAACATGCACAGCATCCTCAGGCATGACACGCAGGCTCTTCAGTCAGACTGGAGTTTCAGTCCTCCTACCTCTGCTACCCACTGTGTTCCTTGGAGACTTACATCATAAAGCCTCAGTTTCCTCCTCTAAGAGTAGAACCTAAGAATAGTACCCATCACATAGAGTGAGGTAAAGGCTAAGGTGATAATCCATGTAAAAGACTCAATAAATTCTAAATCTAAGTCAGCACAGGAATTGATTGACACAAAGATGTCCTGAGCACTCTTCCTAAAATGACTTCCCGCAAAACAGTTTAAGCTTTCATGCTTACTTAAAACAATAATAATACGCATGCCACTTACTTTGCTTTAAAATTACATTTTAGGGCTGTTAGTAATTTTTCACATTTTTAACTTTGAGCTTTACAGCTACCTGTCTTAGTCCATTCCAGCTGCTGTAACAAAATACCATAGAATGGGTAGCTTCTAAACTACAGAAATGTATTTCTCATGGTTCTGAAGGCTGGGAAGTGCAAGACCAAAGTACCAGCACGTTTGGTGTTTGGTGAGGGCTGGCTTCCTGGTTCATAGACAGCATCTTCTCACTGTATCCCCACATGGTAGAAGGAGCAAACAAGCTCTCAGAGGTGTATTTTATAAGGGCACTAATCCCATTCCTAAGGGCTCTGCCCTCATGGCTTAATCACCTCCCAAATGCCCTACCTCCTAATATCATCCCCTTGGGGGTGAAGATTTTGACATATGAATTCTGGGGGGACATGAACATTCAAACCATAGCATAACCTACACAAAGCAAATATTCTTATCCCTGTCTTAGAGCGGTAAGAGCCAGGGCTTAGAAAATAAAAATAATAAAATAAATAAATAAATAAAAGCTCACCCAAGTTCTATTACCTTGGAAGAGCAGGGCAGGATTAAAAACCAAGGTGTCTTTATGTGAATGTAGTTCCTAACTGTCCCTGAAGAGGTATGCACTTCAAACAAGAAAATTATTTTTTGGCTCCAATGATTTGTGCCCTTGTAGTTTCCCAGAGTCCCTGGAATCTAGCCATGGCTGAGAGCAGTTCTGCCCCTGGACTTCCCAACCATGTGAATTTGAAGCTCCCTGTGTTCACTTTAGTTAGTTTGAGTTGGTTCTTCTTACTTGCCACCCAGAGCTCCAACTGGTTCAGAAGCTTCACCCTTCATGTTGTCTGCTTTTATCCATTCTATTTGACAACCATTCACTGAATTTTTGTGATGTGCCAGGGACCATGTCAGGCCCTGGGGATGCAATGATGAATGGGGTACAGTCCCTGCCTTCAGAATGCAGCCACCCCATGGGCTAGGGGTTGCCAGATGCTCCTGCTTCTGTTTTCTAGGCTAGGAAACCTAGGCTCAGAGAGATTGAAGGACTTCACTCAGGGTCATAGCTTTCTAGTGGCAGAGCCAAGAAAAGAACCCCAGCAGAGAATTTTCTACAGAGAACATTACTTCACCATTGGAGTCCACAGCTGATGGATGAGGGTACAACTCAACCACAAGTCTCAGGGGTTGCTTCTATCCTTTGGAATCCAATAAAGACTGAAAGAATAAATAAGTTCCAGAAGGGCTTAGAGGAGCTCACATGAATGATGGAGCCAGAATGAGTTATTACGGGGCAAGTCAAAGAGGCTCACATCCCTAACCTTTAGAAATTGACTTCACCGAAGGCAACTACTGTGTTCTTCCCATAAAGCATCTCTTGCTACTACTGTCAGAGACAGAACAAAGGGACAGACCAAACTTTATTCTGTGCTCATTTAGTGGGTCTCATATTTCAAAGGTTTTGGTCTCTGCCTCCCTCAAGAAATAGGATCCAAGTGCCTCAGAACTTATAATCAGGAAACTGAATCCCTTGCAGGGTAGAAGCAATGGTAGGGGAGAAAGGGATTTGCTCCTGAGGTGAGTCAAATAAGCACAGAAATTCCCTACTTGGGCCCTTTCTTATAGCTCCAGAGGTAGTGCCTATAGTTCGAATGAGAACAAAGAAGGAGGTGGTCACAGCACAAAGCCACACATCACACTGCCTAGCCATCACCATGGCAACAGCAATGTCCCTGGGAAGCCGGGAAGAGGAAGCTGCTCCTGCCGCCATTTTCTGCCTAACAATCTGAGTGGCAGCCTCTAGGTGATGGGGAAACTGGGGAGAGAGCCAGCCAAGTGTCCAGACTCACTTCTGTCCAGAGGCCCCCTTGTGTCCCTAAGTGCCACCTGACCTCCTCTGTTCCTTGTCCGTACCCTCTTGAACACTATTCCTTCAATAGCGGTCTCCTTTCTTCTCCCTCCCAGCAGCCAGTTAGTGACCTACTTTTCAAACTTAACACTTCTCAGAATATCTGAACTAAATGAAGCCTCAGGTGTTATCTATTTCTACTGCTCCCCCGTTTTCTCCCCCATTTTTCAGAGGAGGACAGGAAAGCCAGGCACATGGCGTGATTTGTCCTGTGTCTTTTCTAAGAGGCGCCATGACCAGAACACATTACTGTGACTCAGACAATCTGTAACCTACAGCACCTGATTTTTCACTCCCCTAATAAAGTCCCATGTGCCAGGTTGAACTTCCCTCCTTCCCCCACCAGGTCTCCTCAATGGCCAAGGTGGAGGAGCCGCAGCCAGAGACCTGCCCCGCCACCCCCCGCCAACATGCTGCCTGTGTTCCTCCCCACAAGTTTGCCATGGCAGTGGTTTTAGAAAAGAAGTCAGCTGGAGAGCCAGCTTGGATGACAGCACAGACTTACATTTCAGAGTCTCTAAAAGAACTCCCTAAAAGGAAGGGCAATGGTGGATATTTACATTGTAATGTATTGGAATCAGCTTTAGATGGTTTCAAAATGTTAAAACTCTCCCTATATTCTCAGCCTTTTAGGAGAACAACTATTTCCATTTTTTCCATCCAGTTTTCATTATTCATAGAAGGTTCTGTGAGCGAAGTGATGTAGCAACCATGTGCCCAAACGGTCTCAGTCATGTGACGAATTCTTCTCTGTAGAAGGACTCTAGGAATCCATGCAACACAGACAGATGGGCCACACAGACCACTTTCAAAATAAGAGTCCCTTTCTCACTTACCTTCTATGATGACAAACATCTGCCTGAGCCTGAGGCTGAGCCTGAGAGTGGCTGAGGTGCCTGTGACCAGTGGTTCGCAGCCTTGACTGCGCATTCGAGTCACCTGGACGTTAGTATTTTTAAAAACTCCCCGGGTGCTTCCCATGTGTGCTAAGGTTGAGCCCACTGCTCCAGGGGTTAGAAATGGTTCCACCAATTTTCAGTTAGCAAGTGATAGGGAGGCACTTGGGGGCCAACTCTTACTTGTCGGAAACCCCTTCTACTCCCTACAACCTTTGCAGTGACTCGACCTACAGTGAGAATAATGCTGATGAATACAAACTGTCCAGTGGGAAGATCACAATGTGACAGAAGTTTTTATTTGCTTTTTAGTATATGTTATTTCTTATAAAATATAATACATATATTAATATTATATAAAATAGAACAAATTATAGAAATAAATATTTGTATTTTATTTTAAATTATATTTTTATGTTACCTTCTTTTGACAGGTGCACCTACAAATAAGTCCCTATTTGTAAACTAATGAGAAAGTGAAACATGCTCTTAAGTTAGGACTGAGCCAAAGGACTTGACCACACAACACTATGACACTAAAACCTCTTGAGGCCAGGGGTCTGAAGTACTGGGACAGGGTCCAGGAAATCCCATAAGGCAAAGAGACTATAATGTCTGGCCTGGGGCATTGGTACCTTTCTCCTGCACTAGCCTTGAGGCTGCACTGTCTGCATCCTGGGGTCTGGCAGATTAAATCCTTAGACACCTTGATTCAGAGGATGAGTCTGGGCAGAAAGATCCCAGCTCATCATCCACATGGGAGAGACTGTCTCGTGGTGAAAGGAAAGTCATTTCTGAAATTTGACATCCCTCCAATTGTATATAACCTATTTTCTCCCTACCCTA